CCAGAGATTGTAGCCCAGCAGGACGATATTATCAGGGGTATTGCAGCTATAGAGGAGGAGCAGCTTGCTCAGTAGGAGGGGATGGTCGAGAGTGAACCCAGTGGCAGCTCAGATGAGGACTACCGGGACATTCCTCAGATGCCTGCATGACAACATGATCATGAGGCCGGTAGCTCCAGTTTAGCTCCACCTACACCGCAGACAGACCCTGCTCTTCTTGCCATACTTGAGCGGATGAGACATGATCAGGCTCGCCAGGCACAGGAGATAGCTGCTACGTTTGCATAGTTTTAGACTCGGTAGGACGAGTTCCAGCGATAGCAGCTGGCTATTCAGTAGCAAACACAGGCTCTACAGCAGCAGCAGCAAGCCATGCATCGGCAACAGATCCTCATGCAGCAGTAGCTACTTGGGTTTATGCAGCATGTTGTGACAGCTATTGGGGCTCCACCGCCACAGCCTTCGCCCCAGCTTGGTTAGACTGCCACCACTTCTATGACTCCAGTGTTATAGCCTAGTGGATTCAGAGTCAGGGACAGCCACCAACATAGTTTGCTTCTCCTACAGAGCAGGTGTCCTAGTATTTTGCTTCACCAGTGCTAGCCCCGCAGTTCACACATTTTCAGATGGGCTTCACACCGGCTGAGACGTCCTCGCTGCTAGTGCCAGAGACTACAGTATCCAGGAGCCTTGGTGCTTCCTTTAGTGAGTTGACAGGGCAGCCTACTCCTCCATACTTACATGTCCTAGGTCCTTCTACAGTTGCACCTATCACCGGGACTACAGAGACACTCCCTTCCTCAGTGGCATCATCAGAGCCGGCTGCTTCAGTCATACCAGCACAGCCTACAGCAGCTCTAGTCCCTGATACGACCCAGACTGCTTCTGCATCGCTTCCAGCTATAGAGGGTCAGACAGCTCAGAGCTCAGGGTCAGATGATGATGGCACCCAGTTCCAGCTCGCTCCACGCACCTCAGCGCCCGACTCGTCCGCTGTAGCCCCACCGACCGACCCTTAGGTTTTGGTGTTTGACGCCAAAGGGGGAGAGGTTCGAGTATGTTAGCCTTAGGGGGAGAGACATATCTAGGGGGAGCTTAGTTATTCTATTAGCTTATCTATTACATTTGGAGTTTTATGTGTGATACACTATTATGCATTCATCGTGTGTTTACTTTTATGCATTAAACTTTATTTATGTGATAGTGATATCTACGTGATCGTGATATATGACATGTGTGCTCTCTACTTTGAATTATTTATATGTCATATTATGTCATATCACTTGTGCAATGCTCATTTGTTTTTGCTTCCATGTTTTACTCCGATGCAAATGAGCTTTATTACTTGTACTCATGCTTATTTCATATCTTTTGAGTACATCATGTTGGCTTGGGTCATATAAGCTTGCCTAACACTTTTGTTCTTATTGCCAAAAGCTTATATGAACCAAGCATGTTAAAAACCTCATCTCTTTCACATACTTGAGGTAGTATTGTCATCAATCACCAGAAAGGGGGAAATTGAAAGCATCTAGGCCCCTAGTTGGGTTTCGGTGATTAATGACAATACATGATTACTATGACTAACGTGTGTTTTACAGAGGCAATTAAGTTAGGTCACGGTAATGGAGATCGATTGGGCAATCAAGGTGGTCATGCCCCTATGATGGAAATCATTTTGGTTTTCAAAGGATGGACAACAAAGTTAAGGATAGACTAGTTCTAAGTGTCATTTGGTGCTGAAGAGTCACTTAGAGTAGTTTAGGACTTTGTTTTTTTCTTTGGCCATACTATTAAGGGGGGTATGGACGGGTAGCTCGACCTAGGTGAGTCTACTGAGTTAGGTGTGGTGCACACTTGTTCAAACTAGCACTAGGAAGCTCCAAAACAGCCCTTAGATCCAATGGAGCAAACTTCATTCACATATGATCGAGAGTTGGAAGTGAATGGAGGGTCAAATACTGACCGGATGCTGGCGCAGAGTCTGGTCAGTTCATTTGACCAAGGTGAAATCATATGGCGCGACTGGACGCTGAGAGGTGAAGTGACCGGACGCTGAGAGCCAACGTTCGGTCGACTCCAGTAAGGTTCTAGAGAGGGAAAATCACGACCGGACGCGTCCAGTCAGTGCTGACCGAACACTGTCCAGCGTCCGGTCACACTTTAAACACTGGAGTTCGGGGTGTACTGACCGAAGCGTCTGGTCATCATGACCAAAGCGTTCGGTCACCTTGCAGAGGCACATAACGGTTTGTGTTTTTAGCCCATGTTATAAATACCACCTCTATTCGTGTGTGGGGGTACTTTTGCTCATTCCAACAGCTGAGAAACACCTTAGAGAGTGCCAAGAAGAGCAAGGTCCTAGTGAGGTGATTGAGATTTGAGAATCCCAAAGAGAGCCCTCATTAGTGAGATCAAGAGTAGCAAAGTGTGCATCCACCCTTCTCATTAGACTTGTCGTGGTCAAGTGAGAGTTCGTGCTTGTTACTCTTGGTGATCGCCATCACCTAGATGGCTTGGTGGTGATTGGGAGCTTGGTGATCATCCGGAGAACTTGTGGATGACCCAACTCAAGTTGTGAGCGGTTGTGGGTGATTCACTACGACGGAGTGTCGAAGAATCAACCCGTAGAGAGCACTTGATCCTTGCGTAGATCAAGGGGGAGCTACACCCTTGCGCAGGTGCTCCAACGAGGACTAGCAGGGAGTGGCGACTCTCCGATACCTCGGCAAAACATCGCCGGGTTCCTCCTTCTCTATTTACTTTGAGCATTTCAATTCTTGTCTTTACATTCATAGAATTGCCATGCTAGAGTAGGATTAGAACTTAGGTTGCAAGTCTTTTGTGCGGTAGAACAATTAGAAACACTTTCTAGGCACAAGGGGTTAATTGGGCTAACCATATGATTTAATTATTGCAAAGAAATTTAGAATTAGCCCAATTCACCCCCCCCCTCTTGGGCATCTTGATCCTTTCACATGCCTCGTGACCTCTCAGAACAAGAATTGAATGCAGCGAGGCTGTATATTTTGACCAATTGCTCTACTGTTGATCGTTATCAAGAGTAAGTGATGCAAATAACAATTTTTAACTGTTCTAGCAGAGGTTCTATAACTTGTATATATTTGTAGGGCATTTATGGAACAGAAGCGTGCTAATAACCCTAGGTTGTCAGTGGAGGTCCTTGACAAAATGATGATAGATGAATTTGTAGATTGGTTTAAGAAAACTGTAAGGACATATTACCTTAGCCGTATTTCATGAACACATGTATATATATATTCTAACAAACTTATTTATTTTTATAGTGTAGAAAGGATACCGATGCAGATGAAGACTTGTGGAATTTAGCCAATGGATGCAAATCTAGAGTACTATCATATAGCTCGTATGATGTTAATGGCTATAGGTTCAGGTCAGAGCAATATGAAAACTCCCATGCAAAGCTGACCACAGTGAACACAGGGGTTTGTTTGACATCATTCACCTCAGATGATCAACAACTTGACTATTATGGTGTAGTCGAGGACATTATCAAACTTTCTTTTAATGCTGGTAGAAAAAATTAAATGGTTCTCTTACGGTGCCGCTGGTTTGATCCAATTTCTGGTCTTAGATCTGAACCAAAATTAGGTTTGGTGGACATCAAGCCATCTTCAAGGCCGGTGAATTTTGAACCCTTTGCCATGGCTCACCAAGCCACACTAGTATACTACTTGCAGTACCCATCTCTATGGCGTGATTTGTGTGATTGGTCTGTTGTTTACAAGATCCAACCAAGGACCTTAACCAACCTTGACACAGTAGATGCACATGAGCCACCTATTACAGATGTATTTTTCCAAGAAGATGAGCTGCAGGGAAGCTTCTCCATTGATGTTGATGGCTTGTTTGATGATGTAACTGTGTCTTCAGAGGCCTTGGATGATGTCCTTGATCCCCAAGATATTAAAACTATAGAAAAGCAAAACAGCACTGAGGATCCATTGGATGACATTTCTTATCATGGGAGTAGTAGTGACGAAGAGCAACAAATAGTTGAAGAAAATAGCGACTTGGAAGACATTGACAAGGATGAGGAAACCACGGATGATTCCTTAGAATTTGATTATGATGATTATTGAATCCTTATTTTTAATATGTACATTAGTATCTTATTATTTAGCTTTCATATTGAACTAGAAATATGTCTTCCCAATCTAAAATATGGTGCATCTTTGTTTGACTGATGATTTACTTCACTTATTTTACTTGTGTATCCCCTAATTTTATTGGTGCCTACTCGTTCTTTAATAAACATTTTATGCAACATACTTATTGCCATGTATGAAGCAGGATGAGTGGCTGCTTGAAGCACAGACCTGTGTCATCATCAAGGTCAGTGCGTTCCACATCAGCTGCTGCAAGAGAAAATAATGGATTGGCTTCAGCAAGTCAGCAAGCTATTGAGAAAAAAATACTCGATCAAGGACTGATAGCGGTGAAAGACTTCCAGAAAGAGAGACCCACGATCAAGGCTGTTGGAGAGTAAGTAACATTGTATCTGCTTTAATTTGTATAATTATGTGTCCATATTATATCTATCGCTTGTGTATTAACATAGACTATTGTCTTAGTATTTTGTGTTCAAGTGTTCATTGTTCAGATTAATTTTTAGCAAGTACAATTTGTCCATGATAGAGAACAATGTCATGTCATTAGTGCACTAGCTTGCTTGTAGATAGTTGGATGCACCAGCATATTTATTTAAAGAGCTTACAAAGACTAAATAAAGAATGTTGTATTTTTAACTTTCCACATTTCTGTAAGGTAGGAGTTTTCAGTACTGACCGGTTCCATGATGTTTTGCTTACTTTAACATTTCACTTATGTATTTTATATCTTTTATCCCTATATGATGATGTCGTTTGATTTAATATAAAATTATCAAGCACTGGGAAGTGCATCCTTATCAAAGTTCTCGCAAACCCCCAACAGTAATTGGCGCTCTAGTTCACGAGATGTATCCTGATTTTGTTGATACAATAAATGGGATGAAGCCAGTGCTAACATGGGAAGATTTCAAGAAGACTACCATAGCTGGGGTATCAACTGATAAGAGAGTATTGGAAGAGTTCTGGGTATGTGCTACATGTGCATAATAACTACAGCTTACTAACTAGCTTTGCTATTGTTTAAAAGTTATCTCAACTGCAACTTACTATAAATAATATGGCAGTGGCGTTTCAAGTGTCTTCCAGAAGATAGAGCTGAGGCAGATGCTGTCTTGGAGTTAAAATTTAAAAACATGGTGCCTAAGATGTTGAGAGAACAGAAGCGGGCTATCACAAAGAAACTATACAAGGATGGTCATGTGCCCCAGAAGATGTAGATGAATATGGAAATTGTTGGCCAACAAAAGCACTTATATCTGTTAAACCAAGAGACTTTACAACCAATGAAGGTTGGGCTTTGCTATGTGAGCACTGGAGTACATCAAAATTTAGAAAGTCATCCTTAAAGGCAAAGCAAAATTGCCTAGCTGGTGATAATAACGTATACCATCGCAGTGGCTCAAGAAGCTTACTAGCAGCACGCCAATGGCTGGTAAGAACCCAAACCAAAAAGTTGTGACTTCATAAACTACTGATGTACAATGTTCAATACATGTCAAAGCATACTTACACTTTAATTGCAGGCACTAAAAACTGGCGTTGACCCTAGAATTGGTGGTGCTTGGCTGCATAATCGTGAATTGAATCCAGGGACAAATGATGGCAGGTTGTGCAACCAGAATGCTGCTGATAAATGGGTAAGTGTTGGATTATTTAGCTGATAGCTCTTGTAGTTGTCTTGTTACTGATCCTCAGCTTTTCTATGTTTGTTTGGAAAAGGCACAATATGAGGAAGGAATGGAAAAAAAGTATGGCACGAATTGGAAAATTGAGCATCCTGAATTGAATGCAAGTGTCATTTATGAGTGTGCAGGTAGAATGGTAAGCTAGGAATTGGTGATGGAGCAATTAGTATTGCTGAGAAGGAAGCAATCAAGACAAGGAAAAGAACTGCACAACCATATGTTTCTGCTAAAGAGAAGCGACTTGAAAGGGAAAATCTGCTGTTGCGAAAAGAATATAGCAACCTTGAACATGTTGTGCGGGTAATTATTGTTAGAATAAATATATGCGTACAAATAAATACCTATGGCTAACCATGAAGTTTTAACAGGCACTTGTTGCTAAACAAGGAATGGACTTTGATGCATTAGCTTAGGAAACTACAACTAACTTGGTAAGTTTACCAGCTACCTCACAGAGCACAAATTATTACAATGAACTCAAGCATCACTCTAGTTGATTCAGATTTGAATTTTATTTTTCCCACCTCAATTCATTGCAAAACTGACCTTCAAAGTATAAACTAATATATGCATGACATGCAGCCTACTTCTGAATCTGAGGTTGCATTCGCTAGAGAGCATGAGAAAATTGTTCCTAATGCATTTGATCATGTAAGTATTAAGTGTGTTCCAAATGTATCCGTGCCATACCTGAAATTATTGCAAAATCTATCTTATATATATTCAAGCTGGTTCATATGCTTATAAAAATAATTTTATAACTTCTGTAGGATAACATTGGTGGAGCAGACTATAGTGGTGAGGAAAATATTGGTGAAGCACACTATAGTGGTCAGGAAAATGAAGATGACATCTATGATTATGATGATGAAGGATACCATTCCCAAGATCATGGCCAAAATTACGAGAACAATGGTGAAGACTTTTTCGATGATGATGCTTCCTGGTGATGAGAAGAGATTATATGCAACATATGCAGTGTGGCACTTTTAAGTAGTTTTCCTTATGCCTTGTGAACAGCAGAGCGGTATCTTAGTCAAGTATTTTAATTTGAACATTAATTTATGTAATGTTGAAGAATGTTCTTAGAAACTTTTAGAATGTCTAGGCCGTACCTTTCAATATTAAAGAGCTGGTTATGAAATGTCATGAATTGTGAATGTTCAACATTTGTAATTGATCTTCCTGGTTACATATATTAATTATTTACGGCTATAAAAAATATCCCAAGCAATATCGGATGATGGATTATAATAAAACAGCTTCATCTCTATATTGCCGATGGTTTAATAGTTTTAGCCGGTGGGAACCCAAAACCTTCACATATATATTCTACCAAGAGTATTTAATTCCAGACGGTTAATAAACACCGTTGCTAATATGTTTCCCCGATGGGTTAAAAAACTGTCATGCAACAAATCCCTGACCGGATATGTTTCCCGATGGGTTTAAAAAAACTATCAAGCAACAAATCCCCGACTGGATATGTTTCCCGATGGGTTAAAAAAACTATCAAGCAACAAATCCCTGACCGGGAAACCCTCGACAATTTATGTTGGACCAAAGGCCGAATGACGTGTTTACCAACTAATTGCCGAGCATCAACCGTCAGAAACATACAGTCAGCCATACAATAACTGACTAGCAGTCGGTAAAAGTGGGAATGCCCGACCATGGATGCCCGACGGGAGCTTCCTAATGGTATACTCTCGGCAATTGTACTTCCTGATGATACAAATTAATGGCCGACGGTTTAATAACCGTCGGCCATTCTTGCGCCTCTAGTAGTGTTCCATGGCCACGATGCGACCTCGTCGCCCCTCATGCTTGGCACTGCACCGCCGCCACCCATGTAGGGTGCGACCACGGTGGCCAAGGCGCTCGGTGTGGCCTACCGGCTAGCATGCTCGGTTTGCTAGAGGCGGCCGATGTGCTTGGCTAGATGGAAGCGACACCGACGATGTCCCACGACTTGGAGGCCCACGCGCTGGGTGCTGCCCCACCGCCCACTTGCTGGTGCTGCTACAGGGCCAGGACGAGTAGACGACAGCGCTGAAAGGTCCTAATGGCTAGAGGGGGGAGAATAGCCTATAAAAATTCTACAACAACACTTAAGCAAGGTGGTTAGATAATTAGAGGCGATGTAATTCTTGCGCTAGCCTACTAAAAAAGCAAGCCACCTACCACAATTCTAGTCACTATAGTCTCTAAGCACAAGGTCACTACCACTAATTTAGTGTGCTCTCAAAGACTAACTAAAGAGCCTCACTAACTACTAGACCCGACACAAGCTAGCTCTCAAAACTAATTACACTAAAGAGCTTAGCAACACTAGTAAAGTAAATGCAAGGGTGAGGTAGTAAGTTATACAGATGTGGCAAGAGATGATCAATCAATCAATCATAAGAGAACCAATGAAATCCTCAGGACAAGATGACACAATGATTTATCCCTGAGGTTCACTTGCTTGCCGGCAAGCTACATCCTTGTTGTAGCGATTCACCCACTTGGAGGTTCAGCGCTAATAGGCATCTCATGCCTAACCCACAATCGGGTGCTACACAACCAACACAAGATGTGGATCCACATGCTACGAGCAATCCACTAGAGTACCTTTTGGCTCTCCATCGGGAAAAGGTCAAGAACCCTTCACAATCACCATGATCAGAGCCGGAGACAATCACCTTCCTCCGCTCGACGATCCTCGCTTCACCAAGCCATCTAGGTGGTGGCAACCACCAAGAGAAACAAGCAAAATCCACAACAAAACACAATCACCAAGTGCCTCTAGATGTAATCACTCAAGCAATACACTTGGATTAACTCTCAATCTCACAAAGATGATGAATCAATGATGGAGATGAGTGAGAGGGCTTGGACTAAGCTCACAAGGTTGCTATGTCAATGCAAATGGTCAAGAGAGTGAGCTAGAGCCGGCCAAACACCTTAAATAGGGAGCCCCTACGAAAAGAGCCGCTGGGCACCATGGGTAGCTCACTACGAGCTGACCGGACGTGCCGGTCAAGAGTGACCGGATGCATGCCTCTAGGGCTTGGTCACCCAATGAGCGCCACGTGTCCCCTGCATTGAATCTTGTCCATGTGATCTTAACGGTCAACTTGCACCGCGCTACTACTTAAGTCACGATCGGACGCACATGCGCCGATCGGATGCACCATCCTGGCATTAGGTCATGCGCGCGCATGAGTGTAACACCCTCGGTGTTACGCCCTAAACAAATTACCAAACCATGTCATGAGCATCATGTTTATGTGATAATACATGTGATGGAAGGTGTAGATAACATTTTTGTAACTTCAGATGATCAATAAAAATGTTAAATGATAAGCTATTCCATAACTCATATGTATCAAGTAGGGTTTAAAACTAATTTTTATTGAACAAAAATACTATAGAACATATATGTGGCGCTTAAATAAAGTTTGGAATATGAACTTTGTAGATGACAGTGAAATACTTGTTGTAGAAAAATAACATTGCTAGCCAACATTTCTAATAGCCTAGAAATGCAACTTGGAATCAAATTCAGCTCATAGACTTAGAAGATTTTTAAGTATATAGATAGCTGGACAATGCCATGTTTGGCAATTTATTTTGCGAAATTGGGTTAAGAAAAGGTGTTATGTTTTAGCTCGGTTTGGTAGCCTCATATGTCATCTTGAGCATGGCGAAGATGGTTTAGATCTAGAAGCAACCGTTTAGTTGTTATAGGTGCTTTAAAATGCGTGCACGACACGTTCTTGGGTTGGTCGGGTGGACGCGGTCACCACGCTCGGGCGCACGCCATCGTCGTGCTGGTCGCTCGCGCGTGCGCGCGCTGCTTGCTACGTGTGGCTAGCTACGGCTGCCTCTGGCCTGGTCGCCACTAGCCTCTACCGCACGGAGCCACTGCTGCTGTTTGCGTGGCCATGTGGCGCTGCTGGCTATCCTGCCACGCTGCCGCACTGTCGACCTGCCCCGCGCCGCGATACAGTCGCTGTCGGTGTCGTCGCCTCACCGTCACATCCGTGCTTCTCTCTGCACCTCTGCGCCGCTGCTAGCCCTATTCAAGGCTGCCACTACCGTGTGCACGTTGCCATGCTCGCCATCGCCTTGCCATTTATGGCGCTCCACTACGCGGGCCATGGCTGGTTGGGGACGCGCGCTTGTCCTTTGCGTCTACGCAAATGCCTTCCCGGTCATGCCGAGCATGTCTCGCCAAGGCGAGGCCATGCTGTGCCACCTACCGGCCCGTCTCTCTCTCTCTCCATCTCTCTGCTACCACCATTGGAGTCGCGCCCCACGCAATTGACCAACGAGTGGTAATCTCTTTTCAATTCCGCGCGCCTATGTCTCCGCCATCATGTCCTCTTGCTTCTCGACCCCACCCTGCCTTGAGTGGCACCCGGTCAAGCTCCAATTTGGCATTTTCTCGCCGCCATGCCGATAAGGCCGCGTCTGGCCATGGACGAGGGCAGCCCTCCTACCGTCCCTCCCAAGCCAATTCACTTGCACCACTAGTTTCGCCTTACCTCCCTCTCCACCTTGCACACGCTAATGGAACCGCTACTGCCTCCCCATCATCGCTGACGTGACCGCACCACCATGGTGCGCCACTGCATAGCTCGGCCGCACGTGGCCACACCTCCTCTGCCATCCTCCAACCCAACTATCATGTCGGATAGGTCCACGGTAGTCTACTGATGCTCCCTCGCTAGCCAGTTAGGTTCTTATGTGCTCTAAATCACCGGGGCAGCTGAGCCGCCGCCGTGGATGGCCACGCGTCACTGCAGCTCGCTCTAGCGTGTCCTGCCACCCCGTGTTGCTACTTGGTGTTGGCGGTTGGACCGTAGTTGAAGGTCGGCCTGACCGACGGGCCAGTGCGAGCCTCTAGTGGCTGGCACGGTCGTGCCGTGTCAACGCCAGCCGCGTCGCCGTGCGTTGAGTCACTAGGGTGCGCGTGGGTGAATTAGGGAAAAGTCAGGGGCTAAGTGAGAAGGTCTGAGAGAGGAGAAAATAATGTTTCTTCTTAGTTGTAAATTGGGAGGAGTTCGAGGTCTCTTTTGCAAAATCTCCAACGCGCGCGGGACTCCCCCGCCTCGGGCCGCCTCGCGAGTGGTAGGCCTCACGTGGGCCACGCCAGCGGGCCGCTGTGCGCACGCTGTGTCGCGCGGGCCGCGCGGGAGATTTAGTTTTCTTTTTCATAAGGAATTAAGAATGGTTTTCTAATTTAATTTTTGAGCTGGTGTTTGGTAAATCATATAAAATCATGTAGGTGTCCAAAAATTGTGAATTTTTTTGTTAGGTTCCTAAAATTGTGTTCTATTGGTTGGTGTATTTAGTTCATGTTTATACATGTCGACATTAGGAGCTATTAAATCATTTGAAAATGCTTAATAATATTAAGTTAATTATTGTAGTAATTTTTGTGGTAAATTGATGATAGCTTTAGTCCTAAAAATTTTATAGTAGCTTCATTGTATTATTATGTGCTCACTGTAATTTTTGTAGCCTTAGAATAGACTAAGCATTAGGGTAGTTAAATGCTCTTTGTTTTAATATACATTTAAATATTAGTAGAAATAAAGATATACCCTTAAATTGCAAAACTGAGTGTTTGTTAGTTGAATCCAACACCTTGCTTGATGAAGATGATAGTTAGCTTAGTATCTTAGTCATTAGAGCTAGTTTAGTAACTTGGTATGTGCATTCTTAATTTAAGAGTTGCTGTTGCCTGAATGTTAAGTGTTGCATCATCATCGCTTGCATGTAGAAAACGAGTTGGCGGAGATCATGACCACCAGCGATCATGAGTTTGAGGAGATCCTTGGGGAGTACGAGGAGGAGATTCTCGCATAGGAGGAGGTCCCGGAGCTGTCACTTACTGACTTAGCTGACACCGTGCTTGCCCAAGGCAAGCCCGGTGCATAACCTCTATTTTATAATTCAT